TTCTGTAAGTCAACACTTCAGTAATAGAATCTGTTATATACAACCTATTTTGGGGGATGACGCCTCTTTTGGGGGACGGCCCCCTTTTCGTACACCTGATCCTGCTGGAACACCTGTTAGAACACCCAGATATTTAAAATAATCAAAGACCCTTTAGATGGCACTCAAAGATTAAAAAATGACTAACCATTTGAAACCGTAATATTGATGAAGAATTTAATTTTCACTATGATCTGATGGCATTATCACTCCAATGAGTCTTAACTTTGAGATGCTCCAAAAATCCCAAATGTTTCCGTTAATTCGATAAATCAATTAGAAACCTGCCCTACAGAATACAGTGCTCCTGAATCTCTATTTATATGTGGAATATAATTTGACACGTTTCGTTACAAATTTCCGTTTCTTCACCCTGCACAAATGAGAACACAGATGTTACCGACATTGCATGTCCTCCTGTGGAGCTGATGTTGACAATGACGTTGTTGTTTGGGATGTACAGCGTACCTCATCAATCACTTACAAAGCGTGGCACGGAAAGGTTATTTCAGATGAACATCGCAAGTGTCAACCCATTTAATATGTTTTGAATCGGGTTAAAAGCTCCCGAAGAGGCTTGATGTTACATGATTATACTCGTACGCATACTGAAATGTTTCAGCACGTGAAGTTACTGAATCTAGTGCTGTTTCCATCGTCCCCGTGGCTGCTGTCTGTTCCGTCCTGATCGTGGTCATCGCCGTTGTCGTCATCGTTGTTGTTTGTAGAAAACAGAGACGTGGAGGTAATATGGTGTGATATGAGAGTGAATGAGGATTACCCGAGAGTCACGTATAGTTGTCCCTATCAGAAGTAGTCCTTTCGCACTTTCGTTCAGCAATTACAAATACTGATCTCACTTAATAGCGTGTTGCGGTTCATATATTACCTACATGCTCATGTTTACATCCCGTAATCGATGTGTGTGTTCAGTGTATCGTCACCCGGAAATAGTTGGCTCCATAGAATAGCAAGGCCAATGCTTTCAAATGAACAGTCAAACGATGATAGTGCATAAGAAAGATAGACACGTTCTTTTATGTGAGTGAGTATGGTTTTACGCCGCTTTTAGCAATATTTCCGCAATATCACGGCGGGGGACACCAGAAATTGGCTTCACACATTGTACCCAAGGGCAGCATCGTACGGTCTTCGGCGTGACGAGCGGACTTTTTAACCGCTACTCTACCCCACCGTCCCTTCCTATATATATTCACATGTACTGAATTATATATGACAGTGTGGGACAACGCTTTGGCCGAGGTAGGCGGGGAGGGAGGGGTTGAATGGTTACTTCAGAATACGTTGTACCCCCACAACTGATATATACCAATACTGAAAAGCAAAATATACGCAATTCAAGAAATCAAAACTCACACTGAATCTCGATTCGTCTGAAAAGATGACATCATCCCACCTTCATTGTCCAGAACAGAACAGAACAGAACTTTTATTCCGCTCAGGCTCGGGTACTCGACATAACAGGTACAAATAAATATACAGTTGAGAATACATAGGATGGCGAGATGGTTTACAAGGAAGATTGTACAGTTTTCATGACAGTACTACAAAATATACACATTTTCTTTAAACACTAATTCGTTTACAGTTTAACAATTCGTGAAATCTGAAAACGTTGGGTTTTTCAACATAATGGTTTGGGATATAAGTCTTCATATGATGTTTGAAGAAAGGGCAGAGAAAAATGTAGTGAAATTCATCGCCAACATCACACGTGTAGCAGAGGTTACACATTCTTTCTTCGAGTGGAAGTTACTTCTATATGTAAACGATGGCAGGAAGTTCTAAACAAGAGAAATTTAAGAGCCAAGGAGAAAGGGATATATGTGAGATATATTCAAAGACAAGTTCAGCTTTGAATACGCGATACATGGTACCCAAGGAATTCTATAGACTTACAGTTTTTCAAAACCCCATATTTCGCAGCCGTATAACAGAATTGGCTTAACCATGGTTATTGTCACCCAACGGCGCCGTTCCAGTCGATGTCTGTTTGTGAGAATGGGTCCACGGTAAGGTCGACGGCAATGTAAGCCTGCCGCTAGGAGTCGTCTGCGCACAGTCCTTTCGCTGATAGGGCGCCCCATAGACCCAATCACGGCATTAGCAGTGCTTACTGCCGCCTGCAGACGGTTCCGGAGGTGCTGAAGTTGGATTATCCGGTCCTGTCTTTGTGACGTCACACGGGGGGTGTACCGGAACGGGGCGATCAGAAACGCTGCCAGTTGCCACTACCCGTTGCTGCAGACGAGTTATTGTCGAAGGGTGCACCTGAAAATGTCGGTCTACACGAACTTGTCGAACTCCATCATTCAGCATGCCTATTGCTTGGTGTCTCTCCATTTCACTTACACGTGGCATGTTGCTGTGAAATGCGTGTGTCATGCATTTCTTCCTTGCTTGTTTCTCCCAAAAAATGGATTCGAACACCATCCTGAATGGTGAATGCTTTATAATCACCACATCATACTTGTTTTAAAGTATCAAATCCAAACTCATGCTGAAAAAGTACAATTTTCATGAATTCTGAGTTGCGTTTTTATTGCTGGTCAGTATATATACACCTATACAAACGTTAAGCAATACTAATATGGTTTTAGATGTGATGTCTTTATTGTAACTATTCTAATTTAAGGAAGTAAATGCGGGGAAATTGAATCTGAGACCAGCCTTTAAGGAAGAGTTTATAGTGAGTGAATATGAGCAATATCACGAAGGGGGACACCAGAAATGGGCTTCAGGCATTGTACCCATTTGGGGAATCGAACTCAGATGTTCGGCGTGAAGGGCTTATACGCTTAAGAGACACTATTATTGAGATCATATGCAAAACCTTTCACACCCATAAATAGAGTGAAAACTAAATATCTATGTTATAAGCTTACATGAGAAGTTAGATGTAAATTACTGAAAACTGGGGTGCTATCTTCTTGACGTCTCCTTTCTTGTGTGTGTTTCAGTCCAACATTTCATTTCTCTTATATAAACATCAAGATACATTTGCTCAGCCTGAGAACAGGCATTTGTTCTAAATGAACCATATTATATTTCGTTCCACCTAATCCTAACTGTAACGGAAAAAGTCTTAAATAAAGCATGGCCTTGGTTTCAAGAGGTTCGGGTATCACCTGTCTATAAAAGAAAGACATTTGTTCTAAAAACTGTCGCATATCGTTCTACCAATTTCTAATAATTTATTTCTACTTCAAAGGTATGCCATTATACGAGCAATTCGTTAAGCATATATTTTTCATTTAACATTTTGCATTTACTTATCTACACAATTATAACTTTCAGATAGAGGATACCCTAATAACCGGTGAGTAGCTGCTATCCAGATGGTAAGGCTGTTGGGTAAACAGTTGGCAGTATCTGCTATCCAGATGGTAAGGCTGTTGGGTAAACAGTTGGCAGTATCTGCAATCCTTCAAGACTGTTGGGTAAACAGTTGGCAGTATCTGCTATCCTTCAAGGCTATTGGGTAAAGAGTTGACAGTATCTGATATCCTTCAAGGCTGTTGGGTAAACAGTTGGCAGTATCTGCTATCCTTCAGGGCTAACATGTAAACAGTTGGCAGTATCTGCTATCCAGATGGTAAGGCTATTGGGTAAACAGTTGGCAGTATCTGCAATCCTTCAAGGCTTTTGGGTAAACAGTTCATCACCAACACAATTTGACTGGCTATATCACTAATCAATAGCTGTGTGATATCGAGCACAATCTAAATCAATGGCGCACAGTCAATGAGCTGCTGGACAGTTATTACTCTTCCAGGCAAATGTTTCAAGGGCGTGAACTACCTGCATTTTCGTGAACACCTGGTGTCTTCACTGATTTTCTCAGTGGTTCATTCATATCATTTTGACAGCTATTTTGTGATTTGCAACACTCTGAGGAAAGCGGACTGTCTTTATAAATATTCCTTGATTCCAACCACTTTCTACATTTCTTTCCCCCAGCGTTGTCACATACATCCTTGACGCAGAATCAGACGGGGGCTACCAGGAGATAGAAGGTTGGTGTTGTACGTCATCGTAGACCCTTAAACGTCACATACATTAGTTCAGATAAACAGGTCATAGCGAATGATTAAATGGGCAATGTTATGTACCATGTCTGAAAACAGTCTTGGAATTTTAGCTGTCAACATAGAAAAACTAAAGGCCTATCATAACTATTAGCTCCGAGTGACCTTGGGCGTTGGGGTAGCCCAGTGGTTAAAGCGTTAAAGCCGAAGGCCCAGGTTCGATTCCTGACATGGGATCAATGTGTCAGGCCCATTTCTTGTGTCCCCTGTCGTGATATTGCTGTAACATTGCTAAAAGTCGCGGAAAACCCAACTCACTCACTCACTGACTGACCTTCTCTTGAAACTTGTATCGGATGCTGTCCATATATCGCGTCTACGGTGCTAGATCAGTGCACTATATTCAAACATGTACGGGTATGTGATCAGTGCACAATAATACAGGCATCTGTGATTAACCTTGCAGTTTGTATGCATAATTAACTGCTGAACATTGTCACTTTCAGAGAGTGGATACGTTCATCAGCGGTGAGTATCTTCATCAATCTTCAAGTAGGATGAATAAATGTTTCATCTCACACAGTGATACATAGCTGAAGATCTGATATAGAATTGATCCTCAGCAACCCATGCTTGTCGTAAAAGTTGACAAACGGGATACGATGGTCAGGCTCGCTGACTTGGTTGACTCATATCATCGTATCCCAATTGCGTAGATCGATGCTTATGCTGTTGAGCACTGGCTTGTCTGGTCAAGACTCGATTGTTTACAGACAGCCGCCATATAGCTGGAATATTGATGAGTGTTGCGTCAAACAACAAACAAACCGACATAGCTATCAGAGCAAAACTATGCACGATTCAGAGCGATGTAAATTTAGAGTGCATCACAGCTTTATAATTTCCTTTCATTTTTATCAGCTTGGTTTCGTATCACAGGGAAGACGAAAACGACGGGAGCTACCAGGAAATAGAAGGTTGGTGTCTAAAGGTTAACTACAAGCATGATGTGTAACGGCTGTGAAACTCGAACTGTGAGTGTATGGTACTGATATGTCGATTGAATGTAGCTCGAACTATCTCCCGTCTGAAGCCCTGAAGCCTGGAATAGGAGTCGTGTCTAAAACCAATATACATTGGATATAAGTCAAATCGTCAAGGTTACTGTGTAATATTTCAAGGAAAGGGAAAAATACCGATTATATGATTTAAAATACCCATCATAGAATAGTTAATCTACTGTAAATAAACATTTCGTCAGTCAAATTCGTTTATATTATATAAATGATACTTATGATACTTCTTAATTTCCATGTACATAACCAAGATTCGGTGATATGCCATGTTGGGGAAACATATCCACTGGCCTGGACAGCTGTAACGGTCATACTTCCCGTCATACATCAAGAATGATTCTTCCATCTTCATTGCTTGCTTCCTTTGTTGCGTTATGCGATGTAGACAGGGTTCCAGTAGCGTATAAAGAATCGTAGTTTCTTTGAAAAAGTAGACACAAATAGTATTTCCTCCTAATGTCCTAAAACCAGTATCTATGCACTGAAAGGAATAAGGAATATTAACGACGAATCTTTTATGTTTCAAATACGATGTAGGAAGGACTCTTTTAGCTTATAAAAAGGATCGATGTTTCATTCAAAACAGACACACAAAAAACCCCAAAACTTCCTCTATTTCCTCCTTATGTTTTAAAACCAATATATGCATTAAAACGAACAAGGCATATTAACAGAAGATTTCTTATCATTCAAATTCGTCTCTGCGTTCTCATATAAATTTTCATACTAATTACATATGTGTTAACTTTGTTTTATATCAGAAGGTGATGCAAACATAGACGACATCGTCCCCATCGTAGCTGTCTACTCCATTATGCTCACAGCCGTGGCAGTTGTGGTGGCAGCAGTTACTATTCTTGTCTGCAAGGACGTAAAAGGTACGATGAATACATGAATCTTTTTGAATGCAATGTAAGTTTCAATCCCTCCTCAGGTCAGAGCTGGTCTTCTACAACCTATTTGCAAGCTCGTCATAACAGGTGAGAAACGCTGGCTGGTTATGGCCATGCATGTATATTCCCGTATCCCAATTGCGTAAATCGATGCTCATGATATCAATCACTGGGTTTTCTTGTCAAGTCTTGATTATTTCAAACAATCGTAATATAGCTGGAATATTGCTGAATGCAGCGTTAAACAGCAAACAGGCATGTCTGTAGTTCACCTTCATATGCTGATTTTTTTTTTCCATTTTATTTTGTAAACGCTGTTTTGATTAAGTAATTTGGGCAGTTGGGAGCCAAGTGGTTAAGGCGTTCACGCCAAAGACCTAGGTTCGATTCCCCACATGGGTACAATGTGTGAAGTCCTATTTATGGTGTTCTGGTTTTGGTGATGTTGATGGTCTGTGCTAAAAGCGACTCAGTCACTAACTGTTATTCAATAAATGGAAACGTGGACGAATCTTTCCGTTTAGAAATTTACAAGTTTGTCTTTTGCTTTATTTGCAGAAAACCAGGACAGAAGGTACATAAGTTTATTGTTTCACCTTAAGTGCTGAAGTTAGGTATGCTTATAACCAGTTAACAAACCCTCATATATGTGTCCAGTTGCAATCTCCTGTGTTAAACACCATTTACTCAACTTACCCCAGAAAACTAGACCCTAACTGAATAAACGAAGCCCGTATAGATTATCTGTGGAAATGACGGAGAAAGTTGCAATTGGATCTATGTAACAAATGTACGATTTGTTAAGAAAGGATTCCAAATCTATGATCACTGTTGAGGTCTTTTTTAAGATTTCCAATCCATTTATGATTTCTGTTGCACGCTGCATGAAAGCAAAATACATACACTTCTTTGAAAGACAACTTTATCTGCAATGTAAGTGTAATGTTGTAATTACAGATGTGGTGAATATCTTACTGTGATGGCAGAGAGATTGTCCCGTGACTTCAGTGATGTACCTTGTGCTTCCAACAACGACGGGGATGTCTTATCCCTACATGATTACGAGCGACTCCTGAGGGAACACTTCCTCATCTACACGTCTCTCCACCCTTCAACTTCATAACTGAGGACCACAGCAACAGGTGAAGCCTATACTGACGATACTGTTCCTCATCTACACGTCTCTCCACCCTTCATCGTCCCCCACATAGTACCACGACACCAGTAGGGCGTGAACTGATGATACAGTTCCTCATCTATACGTCTCTCCACCCTTCATCGTCTCCAACAGACGACCACGGGACCACAGTACGGCGTGCAGCGTCTAGTGAGGAAACAGTTTATGCAGACGATATTGTGTTTGTACCTTTCTACAGACGATATTGTGTTTGTAGTTTTATGCAGACGATCTTTTCGTTTTTGCTGTAGGCTGACCATATTTTCTTGATAGCTTTATGCTGACGTTAAATTCAAACGATATTTTGTTTTCCAAGATATTTTTATGGATTAAACTTCTTTTTTAATTTCTCTCACGACGTTTCCAGACCATTCCAGGTCCCTTCATCAGGTGAACTGGCAGTTAGGACTATGACGTTGTCACTATGACGTCATAACTGAGTTATGACGTCACAATGCAAGTGACATCACAGTACACTAGGGAGAGTACTGTATAAGTGAGTTTGAAGAGTTAATTACATAATGATGAAAATTCATGCTAAATAATAGAGTTGAAAGTTGAATTTTCAATACACAACAACTGCTAATTACACAAAGGTTACCAAAAAGAATAGTAGACTCGTTTTTTCTTTTATCTAAAGTTCATCAAAAGTTAATCAAGAGGTCCCACGCACTTGGCAGGTATACACCTTGATCACGATTAATTGCTGGTTTATGTCTCCTTATCTCGACAGCTTCCTGTAGTCGTGAGAGAAATTAAAAAAGAAGTTTAATCCATAAAAATATCTTGGACATCAATGTACAACTTCTAAATGCCACTGAAAGACATGATATTTTGTTTGTCGTTTTATGCAGGCGATATTTTCTTTGTCGTTTTATGCAGATGATATTTTCTTTGTCGTTTTATGCAGACGGTATTTTCTTAGTCGCTTTATGCAGACAATATTTTCTTTGTTGTATGAGACGAGATTTTCTTTGTTGTTTTATGCAGATGATATTTTCTTTGTCACTTTATGCAGACGATATTTTCTTTGTCGCTTTATGCAGACAATGTTTCATTTGTCGCTGTATGCAGACGATATCACCTCTGCCGCTTTATGCAGACGATATCTTCTTTGCCGCATTATGCAGACGATATTTTCTTTGTCGCTTTATGCAGACGATGTTTTCTTTGTCACTTTATGCAGACGATATTTGCTTTGTCACGATATGCAGACGATATTTTCTTTGTCGCTTTATGCAGATGATATCATCTTTGTCGCTTTATGCAGACGATATCATCTTTGTCGCTTTATGCAAATGATATCTTCTTTGTCACTTTATGCGGACGATATTTTCTTTGTTGCGTTATGCAGACGATGTTTTCTTTGTCGCTTTATGCCGACGACATTTTCTTTGCCGCTTTATGCAGACGATATTTTCTTTGTCACGTTATGCAGACGATATTTTCTATGTCACTTTATGCAGCCTTGTTTTCTTTGTCGCTGTATGCAGACGATGTTTTCTTTGTCGCTTTATCCACACGATATCATCTTTGTCGCTTATGTTGATGATATCTTCTTTGTCGCTTTATGCAGACGATATTTTCTTTGTTCCTTTATGCAGACGATGTTTTCTGGTCACTTTATGCAGACGATATTTTCTTTGCCGCTTTTTGCAGATGTTATTTTCTTAGTCGTTTTATGTAGACAATATTTCATTTGTCACTTTATGCAGATTTGTTTTCTTTGTCGCTTTATGCACACGACGTTTTTTTTGTCACTTTATGCAGACGATATCATTTTTGTCGCTTTATGCAGATGATATCTTCTTTGCCGCTTTATGCCGACGATATTTCCTTTGTCACTTTATGCAGACGATATTTACTTTGTCGCATTATGCAGATGATGTTTCCTTTGTCACTTTATGCAGATGATATTTTCTTTGTCACTTTATGCAGACGATATTTTCTTTGTCGCGTTATGCAGACGATATTTTCTTTGTCGCTTTGTGCTGACGACATTTTCTTTGTCACTTTATGCAAGTGATATTGTCTTTGTAGCTCCAGATTAACAATCCTTACATCCTTATAATGTATGTAAGACTGTGTACCTAGCTGGTGTGATAGTGGCTAATATTGATTACTGTTAAACAGACATTTGTAATAGCATTTTTCAATAAACATTCTAAGGTTTCTAAATATTATAATCTTATTGTAAAGCGAATAGTTCTTATGTTAGTGTACAGTTGGTTATGTAGGTGAGTCTAGGTATAGATGAACGGAGATTATGGTATCGATGAAAAAGAGTGGCTTTACTTTGTATTATATGTTATCTAATGTTGTGTTGCGACATCTTAATAAACTTATTATCATGATTATGTTTTGTCGTCTTCTTGCATTGATCCTTCTGTAAAACTTACCAGGAACATATGACCGTGTGTTCAACCCCCAAAATGGTTGCATTTTTTTCAGTTGTTCGCCCCACAAGCGTTTGAGTGAGTGAGTTAAAAGTTTACATAAGATCGACAATAGTGCAGCCATTTCGCGATGAGAATAATTTAGGTATAAATTCTATTCCAGTCCCACTATTCATAAGTCTAATATGGTCATGTCAATTGTCAATCCATATATTGTAAAAAGATATCTATTTATATAGATGAATCAATGAATCTTAGAGATTCAGTCCTGTGCCAATAATATCATATTTACTTTTCGCATATTTTCTTAAATTGACTTATTGTCTTATTCAAATGTAGGCCTATGGCCTCCACTACAAAAGAAATAAAGATTGAAGATATTATCATTGCATATTTGTCGACAAAATATAGTAAAAGAGTGAGGTACGTATCACAGTTTAGTTTTACCATAACGGCTACCGCATGATTGTTCTGCCCAACATTGTTACTTATGCCACTATCGTGCACGTGCATTTTGACCAATGTCCAACAATTCCTTTTTCACGTTTTGAAGAATGCACGATTCGGGCAAAGTTTTCGGACACCTTGGTTTTTATTGGGAGCATGTTATATTTGGGCGAATGTTTTCTGCTTGGGTGTTTATGCAATTGCATTAAGAGTGGTAACTTTTTTTCTGCCCGATAGTTTAGTCCTTGAAGGGGATTTAGAAGATTGCACGCTGACTATGCGACCTGTGACCAAGGTACTAGAATTGCTGAATTTCCTTCTTTTTCCAATAGTGCTAGTAGTTTGGCAAGATGCTGGGCTGTGTTGTAGCAGACTGAGCCCCTGGAGCATACACTGTTCTGACTTTGACTGGATCTTTATGTGTGCCCCAGTGTGTACTTCAGTGTGCTATAATCATTGGCTTCGCCTTACTATTCTGACCTTTGTCCAGTTTCGGGTAAATCTTGTATGGAAAGATTAAAGATAATAAAATGGATGTTACTAGTTCGATACAAAATACATCTGGGGTACTCGATTTGCTGACATTTTCACGGCCAAGTTACAGGCGAATCTATCTCAGCTGTTGAAAGTATATATACTCTCCCAAAAAAGAAACGCATCAAGAAAATAGCAATTTCATGTAGCAATGAATTAAAACGTGATTCATTTTACAATAGGTTTCGCTCTGTTTATGAGTCCTATGGTGTTTATGTTTTGAAACATCATAACGAAACGCAACATCCGTAAAATACCCGTATTTAACACCATGGTTTTCAATTTCGGCGTGTAGTGTCACAGAATACAGAATTCACATGCAATGCACGTGAAAGTTGGGGATCAGATAGTCTCAATGATGGGTAAAAAAGGTTGATCGCTGTCTGTCGATTATTCACTGCATTTGGAATATTGTTGACGAACGCAAAATGCCACGTCTAAGTGAAGCCAACCATCATATCGCCATTGGTTTGCTTGAAGCTGGCCAGTCTCAACGTGCAGTTGCCCGACGCATGAATGTTCACCAAAGCACCATTTCACGGCTCTGGGAGAGATATCGCCGGCAGAATTCGGTAGCAGATGCCCCTCGCAGTGGGCGACCTCGAGCGACCACTGTGGCGCAGGATCGCTACATCCGGGTACATCACCTGCGTCATCGAACAGCTACGGCGACCAGTACCGCTCGACAAATACCCGGATTGAGGAGGCTTTCTGCACAGACCGTCAAGAACAGGTTGAGAGAGACTGGTTTACGTGCCAGAAGACCTTATTTTGGCCCTGTGCTTCGACAACAACATCGTCGACATTGAATTCAATGGTGCACCAACGTTCATGCCTGGAACCTACCGAATTGGCGTAGAATCTAGTTCAGTGATGAATCACGACTTCTATTGGAACGACGCGATGGAAGAATGCGGGTGTACAGACGTCGACGTGAACGTTTCGCCGACGCTTGCGTTCCCCAGGTGGACATATTCGGCCGGGTGAGTGTTATGATGTGGGGAGCGATCACCTGCCGTAGGAGAAGTGATTTTGTGATGATCCAGGACAACCTGACAGCTCAACGGTACTGTGACGAAAGCCTACGCCCACACCTCCTTCCAATCATTGATCGCCAGAGGGAGTTGTTTCAACAGGACAATGCCAGGCCCCACACAGCACGTCACACTAGAGACTTCCTCCAGAACCACAACATCAATGTGCTCCCCTGGCCCTCAAGATCACCGGACTTAAACCTGATCGATCATCTGTGGGATGCCCTGGACAGACGGTTGCCACGCCGTAACCTCAGCCCCAGACACGTCAGCAACTCACACAGGCACTACAGGCAGAGTGGGCTGCGATTGGGCAACACGAGATTCTGAGACTTATTCGTTCGATGCCGAGGCGATGCCTTGCAGTTCTGGATGCCCATGGTGGTCACACGAGGTATTGCGCCACCACATGTCTCCATGTGACACTCAAACTGACTTTCCTCGATTTGGTGCCAAAGACGGATAAGTCTGCATTCCCAGT